CACCAAACTTGAGATAAAATTCATCATGGTATTGTTCAAATCTAAAAAAAAACAAAACAAAAAACAAAAATCCCCATCATAAGTGTCTAATTTTCTCCAACAAATCCGAACAGAACTTGTCAATGGTTTATAAAATGTGGAAAAGTTCTAAACTATTGACTAATTAGATGCAAATGGTTTTTTTATTAACAATTTAGACTTGCTCTATTTTGCCATTCAAAATATGACTTTTACAATTTTGACGAGTTAAAAGATGAGGGGAGAATTTTAAACCTTCAATAATAAATCACTAAATGTGAATATAAGTTGTGATGAATTGTATTTTTCAGAATTTTTTAATGAATATAAGTTTTTAAATTTATTTATATTTTTCCCAAATTATTAGTGATATTTTTTCAAGGATCTTTCTAAACTTGAATTGATTCATCAATGACTAATAAATTCAAAATCTTGAATTTTTACTATGGGTACAATGTAGAAAATATCACACTTATTTGAATAATTCATAATTTTGTTTTTGTTTTTCGAAAAAAATCTCCATAATATTATGATTTTTTTTAATAATTTTTTTCTATAAAATTTATCTTATTATTGAGAACAATTACAAAATGAAGACTCATTTCTAAGTTTTCCCATATAATTTATAATCCTTCCATAATTGATAGGATTATTATATACGAATTTATAAATAAAAAAATAAAATACTATTTATTAATTGAGAAGTCTTAGTTTAATTAACCTTAACAAAATCTATAAACTTATTTCAAGGCGGCGGGTAATAAACTAAGAGGTAATTTACATAGAGACTCCATAAATTATTAAAAAGTATTACTTTGACTCTTTAAATTTTAAAAACATATAAATGGACCTCCTTAATTATTGGAAAATATCGCTTTGTTCCTTAAACCATAGAAGTATAGAAATAGACCCTCTAAACTATTGATGTGTTTCACTTTGACGTATTCCATAAGGGGGTTTAATTTCTACATTTTTATAGTTTGGCAAATTCATTTATACGCTTTTATAATTTAGGGGTAAAGTGATACGTCTAAATAATTTAGAGGTTCGTTTGTACATTTTTATAATTTAGGAAGTCAAAATGATATTTTTTGTTTTTTATTTTTTTTGATAATTTAAGAGGTTTTGTGTGAAAGGATAAGATTCTCTCTAGCTAGGTTTCCCAATTGAAGCGTGTTGTTGGATTTTCATGGGCCCACCACGAAACCCATATCGATGGTCCGAACCGTTCAATGTGTAGAGCTCATTGAGTACTTCATCCCTGTAAAAAAATCATGTTAATCAAATATTAATAGCCATTTGATCACATCAAAATTGTGTCAACGGTAACTATGAACGGTTTAGATTATTGATTTTAAAAATAAATTGTTGACATAAATGTATTCTGATCAAGTGGCTATCAATATTCGATTAACATAATTTTTTGTTAATATGAAGTACTTGATGAACTCTACATTTTGAATAGTTTTAAATTATTGATATGGATTCCGTGATGAACACACACGAAGGTCTAACAACACGCTCCATTTTAATTTTAGACAGGAGACAAAGCCCATGCGTTACGTAAATAACTCTCAAATGAGGGGTGTAATTTGGGCCCAGCTCAGCCCACTCAAGCCTAGGCTGAGTTGACCCGCCGTCAAGCCTTGCGGGCTCCCGTTAATTTAGGGTTGGATCAGCCCATAGGCCAAAAGTTCGACCATGGCCCACTCAAATTAGGGTTGGTAGCCTTGAGCTCGTGCCGCAGGCCTTTCTTTTTGTTGCGCAAAAAATAAATGATAGATATATTATATATATAGATTATTTATGAGGGATAAAAAAAAAAAAATTGTACTAAAATATTTTGGTTAAGATTAATGAGATGTTTGGTTATGTTTTCATGTGATGTTATTTAAATTTAATTATGTATGACTTATGTTTTTTTTATTATGAATTTATGACTAAAAGAGTATGAAATTATGTAATTTTCTTATTTTTCAAATAAATAATTTTATTTATATTATCAAAATGAAATGAAATATTATAATTATTAAAGGGACACTTTTTCATATACTATTTTTCACCTACTTATGTTCCATTTAGTTTATATTATTTTCTTATATTCCAATAAGTCCTACGAGTGATGTAGTTGCCAAAATGTTCATAATAATATTCATATTTACAATGTGAATGTTTCGTGGTGTGAATGTTCACACCGTCAATGTGAATGTTCACATGTCAATGTGAACATTCACACATTAATGTAAATATTCACATTGTAAATTATGAATGTTCACATCAGTAAATTGCTAATTGTGCAAAAAATATTTGTAATGGTAGAAATATTCATAAAATACTTTAAATATAAGAATTAAGATTTGGTAGATCAAATGTTCAAATAATAAGATTTATTGAAATATAAGAATATCTTATGAACTAATTAAGATACAAAAACTTAAAAAAGAATTTTCTAATAAATCTCTCATTATTAAATTAAACCGAAAATATTTATTTAATAAATAAATTTTGTTTTCAGGCCGAGCCCAGTAACCCAGACTCAAGGCCCTGAACTGGATTCGAATCCGAACTCAACCGCGGCCCGCAGGCCAATTTTACGCCCTGCCTCAAAGTAACCCAAAAGTTGCGATTGCATGAAAATCTACCCCCGTGTGTGGCGTGAGTTACAGACTTACGCGTTTGGACACGACGCGATAACTCCACATCCACTCCTCCTCGGTGCCAGAGACGACCTTTTCTTTCTCTTTCTCTCTCTTTGTTCACCTCTCTCTCAGATCTCTCTCTTCTCCCCCCCTCTCTCTCTCTCTCTCTCTCTCTCTCCATTTCTCTTTTAGGGTTTCGTTCTACTTCTCAATGGAAAATCCAGAGGAATCGAGCCCCCTAATCCCAAGGCACTCAGCTGCAGACGAAGATGAGAAGAGAGCCACCAAGCCAACTCCTCCTCCTCCTCCGCCTGCTGCGGCGGCGGAAAAGCATTCTCCGCAGGCAGCTTCCGGCAACCCCTATTGGACGGCCGACGGATTGCCGCTAGGGCACGGCAGCGTCATGGGCGAACCTATGCGTCGGGCTCAGTGGGACTCCAGCCTCTTCGCTTGTCTCGGTCGCAATGATGAGTTCTGCAGCAGCGATCTTGAAGTTTGTGAGTTAAAATTTTATGTTTTGTCCGTTTGATGCTCAATTTTGATGGGTTTTGGTATTTAATTTCCCAATTTGATCGCTAATTGTTAATTTTTCCCATTGTGAAATTTGCTAATGAAATCGAATATTACATATGTATGTTTGCATTGCTATGTTTATGCGTGTGTAAATGCGTTGACTGTTAACTTATAGAGAGGGAATTTGATTGTCTGGTGGATTATTATTATTTTAAAAAAAAATAATTATGGAGTCTGATGTAATTGGACCTGGTGATATGATTCTGTGTATAGATTGATATGATTGTTGTGGGATATATGTTTCCAGATTCAAATCTGAAATATTTATGATACATCGATTGATTATTATCACTATTAGTTGCAGCTGAATTTATGATGAAAGAAAAAAATGTGTAGTGCGTGGAACTATGAACGGTTTAGATTATTGATTTTAAAAATAAATTGTTGACATAAATGTATTCTGATCAAGTGGCTATCAATATTTGATTAACGTAATTTTTTGTTAATATGAAATACTTGATGAACTCTACACTTTGAATAGTTTAAATTATTGATATGGATTCCGTGATGAACACACACGAAGGTCTAACAACACGCTCCATTTTAATTTTAGACAGGGGACAAAGCCTATGCGTTGCATAAATAACTCTCAAATGAGGGGTGTAATTTGGGCCCAGCTCAGCCCACTCAAGCCTAGCCTGAGTTGACCCGCTGTCAGGCCTTGCGGGCTCCCGTCAATTTAGGGTTGGATCAGCCTATAGGCCAAAAGTTCGACCAAGGCCCACTCAAATTAGGGTTGGTAGCCTTGGGCTCGTGCCGCAGACCTTTCTTTTTGTTGCGCAAAAAATAAACGATAGATATATTATATATAGATTATTTATGAGGGATAAAAATAAAAAAAAATAAAAAAATTGTACTAAAGTATTTTAGTTAAGATTAATGAGATGTTTGGTTATGTTTTCATGTGATGTTATTTAAATTTAATTATATATGACTTATGTTTTTTTTATTATGAATTTATGACTAAAAGAGTATGAAATTATGTTATTTTCTTTTTTTTCAAATAAATAATTTTATTTATATTATCAAAATGAAATGAAATATTATAATTATTAAAGGGACACTTTTTCATAAATTATTTTTCACCTACTTATGTTCCATTTAGCCTATATTATTTTTTTATAGTCCAATAAGTTCTACGAGTGATGTAGTTGCCAAAATGCTCCTAATAATATTCATATTTACAGTGTGAATGTTTTGTGGTGTGAATGTTCACACCGTCAATGTGAATATTCACACTGTCAATATGAACATTCACATATCAATGTAAATATTCACATTGTAAAATATGAATATTCACATCAGTAAATTGCTAATTGTGCAAAAAATATTTGTAATGGTAGAAATATCCATAACATACTTTAAATATAAGAATTAGGATTTGGTAGATCAAATGTTCAAATAATAAGATTTATTGAAATATAAGAATATCTTATAGATTAATTGAGATACAAACACTTGAAAAAGAATTTTTTAATAAATCTCCCATTATTAAATTAAACCGAAAATATTTATTTAATAAATAAATTTTGTTTTCAGGCCGAGCCCAGTAACCCAGACTCAAGGCCCTGAACTGGATTCGAATCCGAACTCAACCGCGGCCCGCAGGCCAATTTTACGCCCTGCCTCAAAGTAACCCAAAAGTTGCGATTGCATGAAAATCTACCCCCGTGTGTGGCGTGAGTTACAGACTTACGCGTTTGGACACGACGCGATAACTCCACATCCACTCCTCCTCGGTGCCAGAGACGACCTTTTCTTTCTCTTTCTCTCTCTTTGTTCACCTCTCTCTCAGATCTCTATTTTCTCCACCCCTCTCTCTCTCTCTCTCTCTCTCTCTCCATTTCTCTTTTAGGGTTTCGTTCTACTTCTCAATGGAAAATCCAGAGGAATCGAGCCCCCTAATCCCAAGGCACTCAGCTGCAGACGAAGATGAGAAGAGAGCCACCAAGCCAACTCCTCCTCCTCCTCCGCCTGCTGCGGCGGCGGAAAAGCATTCTCCGCAGGCAGCTTCCGGCAACCCCTATTGGACGGCCGATGGATTGCCGCTAGGGCACGGCAGCGTCATGGGCGAACCTATGCGTCGGGCTCAGTGGGACTCCAGTCTCTTCGCTTGTCTCGGTCGCAATGATGAGTTCTGCAGCAGCGATCTTGAAGTTTGTGAGTTAAAATTTTATGTTTTGTCCGTTTGATGCTCAATTTTGATGGGTTTTGGTATTTAATTTCCCAATTTGATCGCTAATTGTTAATTTTTCCCATTGTGAAATTTGCTAATGAAATCGAATATTACATATGTATGTTTGCATTGCTATGTTTATGCGTGTGTAAATGCGTTGACTGTTAACTTATAGAGAGGGAATTTGATTGTCTGGTGGATTATTATTATTTTTTAAAAAAATAATTATGGAGTCTGATGTAATTGGACCTGGTGATATGATTCTGTGTATAGATTGATATGATTGTTGTGGGATATATGTTTCCAGATTCAAATCTGAAATATTTATGATACATCGATTGATTATTATCACTATTAGTTGCAGCTGAATTTATGATGAAAGAAAAAAATGTGTAGTGCGTGGAAAAACCGTTGATTTCGTACTTTTTTGTACATGACAATTTTCTTGACAGTAGTCATGCTAATTGAGGAGTCTAATTTGTCCATATATATATATATATGTATGTATGTATGTATGTATCATATTTGATCATAGTGATTATTTGCAACCATGGTTAGAGTAACCTAAGTCCCCAACTTAATCAGATTTTCTGTAATTTGATATGTTATTGAGTGAAAACTTCTTGCTTTTCATAGCAATGAATCTACCCTATTACATTTTTATATAATGATCAATCCTTTAGGAGAGGGGGGATAATGGTCATTAAAGTTTGAAGATGAACAGTGGGAATGTGCATTCAAAGCTTGGGTTTTATTAAAGCTACATATGACATGGTATGGGCAGACACGACTATTAATTTTCAAAAAATTGGGACGTGACACCGTATATGACACAGTAAATAATAAAGATATAACCTTATATATGCAAAAAGGTATTTAATTATTTTTTAGAACTTCTATGCATAAAAATTATTCTATCTCACATTCTATATATTGAAAAAAGTGTGAACAAAAAATATTAATATCTATTTAAAACACCTCATGGAAACAAATTGGAAGTTTTAGATGGTAGATATAAATCATCATTATTTTGATTTTAATAATTGGTTTCGAAGTTTTTTTTCTTTAGACTTAATATGTGTTTTAGGCGTGTTTAAGCGATAGACATGTGTTCTCAAGTGTATAGTAATAAAAATAGAAATAAAAATTTGCAAAAAGTTACTAGAACATGTTTGAATGTGTGTTTGACTCATGTCGGGGAATGTCCAAGGATCGTTTGTGTTCAATATGGAAATGACACTTTCTTAGAAGTGTTCATCCTTTTAGAGTCAAAATGATCGCCTATGTTCTTTTCCTTTAGATTTTCTTCTTCTTCTTCTCCTTAAAATTGTTTTTTTATTATTTTTTTTAAAATAACCTGTGATTTTTTTTATGTTCTAAGATGATAAAATGTTAAAGTTGAAAGTGTGAGCCCTCTTGTTTTTGTCAATGTGTTTAATTAGTTATGCATTGTCTTTCATGATGGATTTTGTATTGTAAGATACAGTTCTCTGAGCTTTAAATCCTATTAATTGTAGGGTTGTTATCTTGGTTCGTTCAACTAGTCTGTTGCTGCATTGGTTTCTAGTCGTGTCTTTCAATTGTGAATCTCTCTATCTCTCCCCTGATGACTTGGCATTTTGTAGGCCTCCTTGGAAGTGTGGCCCCATGTGTGCTTTATGGAAGCAATGTGGAGAGACTTGGCGCTGGTCCTGGGACTTTTGCAAATCATTGCCTGCCTTACTCTGGTCTATTCTTGATTGGCAATTCTATTTTTGGCTCTAACTGCTTGGCACCATGGTTTTCATATCCTAGCCGTACAGCCATCCGCCGGAAGTTCAACTTGGAGGCAAGTTATTCTTTCTATTTTCACGTTCTCATCCTTTCTGATTTTATTGGAAATGATGTTTGTGGTATTTGTGGTCGATTATCAGAATTCCAAGGACTTGACTTGATCCTGACTTTATATGGCTTAGTAGTTCCTTTAGAGTGATTATTTGTGTGTAAGTTTCAATTTTTTTTTATTGTTCTCTTTTGTGTAGGTATTAGGAACTCGTATACTATGTTCTCATGAAAATACTTTTGCAGTTTTATATGATGATAGAGCTTTATTCTGTTGATTGTGGTGTGCTAAATTTCAATAATAAAGAGGCATTTATGGCTCACTCAATTGATGTTTGCATACAATATTTTTCTCATTATATGAATGAAGATGTGAGGGTTAGATTTGGGGGGTGTTGTGTTTAGTTTTCAGGTTTTGTTTTTCTCTGCTGTTCGATATAATATCCACAAACAGGGTTGGAAGCTGTAATACTAGTGAATCATTTACGAAAACTTTGTATAGCTTGTTTTATATTATAATTGAGGGGCACTGTTTGAATCTTGTATTATAACTCAGGCTCATCCATTACACCTTATGGGAATACAAAACAAAACATATGAATCCAGAAAATATAAAAGAATTGAATAGACAATTAATAGAAGTGAAAGAAACCTAAAGAACTTCTGTGCGTAATGGTAATGCATGCTGCTCGTCTCTGATTTCGGTTTATAAATTTGTGAAAACAAAAGTTTCTCCCATGTACCCTAAACACTGTTTGGCTAGAGGGTAAGAAAGGAGAAAAGAAAATTTTCCATAATTTTATTTTCAAATAAGGGAGAAAAGGTGTGGGAGTAGTTAGGAAAATATGTACCCTTCTGACCCGATAACCATCCCCTTGAAAGTTTGATGAATTGAAAAGAATCCAACATCTAAGCACAAGGTACAAGAGTATTCTAAAAGGATTTTGCTTTCATCCTTCCTGTCTGTTTGATTGCAGTTTGTAAACTTACAGACGAAAAAGGTCTTCTCTTTTCTTCCCCTTCTGATAAATGTCTACATTTAATATTTTTAAGAATAAGTTTGATTCAATAAATCTATTTTTTTCTATGATCTTTGGCTGCGTATCTGTTTATGTGTTCTTTCAAATTAGAATATTATATAAAATTATCCATCTCTCTGAAGTAGTTTGGTCATTTTCCACTGCAGTGACATCTCACTGCAATTTATTTAAAACAGCTATTATTTTGAGTGGCATACTTGCTATGATGCTATATATTTTCTTTTCTCATGTGTGTGTATGTGTTTGAATCATGCTTAGTATTGGATTTGACAGAATCAACTTAAATTCAGAAAATGTTTGGCCTTGGCCACTCATGTAGAGTTATTGATTGATTGTTTATGAACCTTCCATGGTTTGAATTTATAATCCATAGACACCTATTTCTGTGAGTTGAACTGTAACGTGACAAGTTTAACCAATGCATGGAGCTATGCAGTGAGCACAATACAAGCTATTTTTGCCTATTTTTATTTTTTCTCTCTCTAGATTAAAATGTTACTATCTATTACTATAACAATCCTCAATGTCCATAATCCTTTAATAACTAAGCAGTCTATTGAGCACCATTGTCAATTTAAGTACGAGGTTTTTGACCATTGTTCCACTCTTGTTTACGTTTTGTTGCTTTTTTTGTTTTTTGGGTAAGTCGTTTCGTTGCTTTGTGTCAAGCCTGTCGATACATATTGCCATCTCTCTCCTTTTGCCCTTCTTTAGCTCAACTGGCCTGTCAATTTTTCTTTTTCCTCTCCATCTCTCAATCTATGTATCTATAGATATATATCTCTTCACTTTATATATATATATATATATATCAATATTTGAGTGAATCTTAATATTGTTTTTGACCTAGAGATTTTGCTATTATAGTTCCTGGATTTAGTTTCACTAGTGTTTCTGCTATAACTTCAGTTTTTCACTGTTTTGAATCAAACAGGGCACCTGCGAGGCACTTGCCAGGTCATGTGGATGCTGCGGAAATTTCTTGGATGATGAGGTGTACCGTGAGCAATGTGAGTCAGCTTGTGACTTTGCAACTCATATCTTCTGCCATGCATGTGCACTTTGCCAGGAAGGTCGTGAGCTCCGTCGTAGGCTTCCTCATCCTGGGTTTAATGCCCAACCCGTCATGCTTATGTACCCCCCTGGAGAGCAGGCCATGGGTCGTCGTGGGGCCTGAGAAAGAGGGAGACAGAGTATTCTACCTCAACATGACAGATTGAGCTTGCCTAATATCACTATATGATATGATATGATATTTTCTTCTCAAATTGCAATTTCATCGTTAAACTGTGCTTGAAATATGGTGTTATATGTAAAAATAAGTTGCCATGATATTATTATGTATTTTTTTTGTGGTTTATTATGTAAATAGTAATTGTCCTCCTTGTGTATGTGTACATGATGTCTGAGGATATGCCTTTTTGTATGTGTACACTGAATAGCATGGAATGCAAAATAAAAGCTTATAATCTTTTCTCTGTCTTATTTTCAAATTTGATTGTGGGATTGTTGAGCACTATGCCCTGTATTGTTGCTCTCCCACACATTTGTGATGTGTCTTTGAAATTGAATTCTCCTGTCGAACTTGGTGCCTAACTGAATTAAGAGTTCGAGGATAATTACCAGCAAGTCATTGATTGGATTTATTTACTCACAAGTCTTAAGTGATTTTCTTTTTTCCTTTTTTTTTTATTTTAATAGATTTACATATTTGTCCCTCATTTTGATAATGAGAAAATTTTGAGATTTTCAATGTGTTTTATGTTTATGGAATGATCAATTGGTATATGTAGCAATACTGAAAAAAAAATTATTAAAGTGATAAATGGTTGGGACATTTTGGCTTTCATTTATAAATTTTGATTTGTTTTTAATTTGTTTGTGTTAATTTGTATTGAAATATCTACTATCTATTATTATTATTATTATTATAAAAGTATGAAGAATTGTCATGTTTTTATTTTTTATTTTTTATGTATCTTGAAAATATACTCTCAAACTTATTAAACATTAGTAAAATTACAAACAAGTACAGACATCTTTCAAAGTTCAAATATTTTCAAATATCAAACATTTTAAAATAACCAAACACTTCGAAATATCATAATTTATGTTTTGGACTCATGACTTATCTCCAATTATACTATTTGTTTTAGATATATATATAGCCCCTGTTGCGTAATTCGAACTTAAATCAGTAGCCTCAAAGAATTTACATGATCCTTACTAGCACTAGCCCCATTGATGAGTTAAACAATAATAAGCATGAAACTAGACTTAGATCATGCATCTTACTTCTAGAACTTTTTGTTTTGGATTTCAGAATCAAACAGTTGGTTACATTATCTCTCAATCAGCTATGTTTGACACCCCAATGGTTATACAAACAGATAAAAACATAATAGTCCACTCTAAAACTGTGGAATTATTAGAAGGAAATATTGCACTGATTAGTCAATTCAATTACGGTTGCCTTTTCCATGATCTTCTAACCTTTCAGCTTGTTGATAGACATCCGCTTGCAGAGGTTAATTTTTCTTGTACTCCTACTTTAATTTTAAAGATATTCATTCCTAATATTCTTTTGATTTTTCTGTGGGTGTAAAAACTATTCTTCTTTAATAAATTAACTCTTCCTTGTCAACCACTTGATAATATATTAGTTGATGAACTCTTACATGATTGTAATTTTGAATGTAGAATACCTTTTGGAATGCAACAAGATTCTCATATGTAAGAATTTCAGTTTTTAATGTTAAAAACACTTCAAGTTCTCACTATTACTGCTCTTTGTTAAATTTTTTAATTTAACTAAACAAACAAAAGGAAAAAAAAAAAAAATTCTAACTACTCTCCTACGCAACAATAAAATTATCAAAATTGTTCATTGAAAAATATTTCTCATATAAAAAACCATTAATTGACTTAATAATTTATTTACAAAAAATATAATTATTAATTTTGCATAAAAAAATTTAATTATTAATATTACATGTAAATCAGAAAACAAATTTTAAATTAAAATATTAAGATGTATAACATACATAAAAATACTTCATTTAAATATTAAAATGTATAAAGTGATAGTTTGACCCTGTGTTTGGCAAGTGGGTTTACAGGCTTTTTTGGCTATTTTAGCCACAAAAAACAAAATAGGCTATTTTAGCCATAACAAACAAAACATCACATCCAACCCATAATCATTACATTATTCTCTCACAAAAAAAACTCAAAAAAGTCAAAAAGCCAAAAAGTCCTTCCCAAACCAAGCTTTTAAGCCCAGGCTAAAATAGCCAAAAAAGTCAAAAAGCCAAAAAGTTTCGTATTCCAATTATGGAACCACACGAAAGTAAATTTTTGGGACTAACGAATGATCACATCAATATGATGTAATGGAAGTTGTGTATAAATCAATCTAAAAAAATTTAAAGATTTATATTATTTATTTATTTTTTTAATGGAAAGGACATAATTTATAAATAAAGAACAACAGAAAATACAATGGTGGCAAGATTTATAAGACTAAATTATATTTATAAGATGTAATTTATTAGATTAAATTATTATTTTAAGTGAATTTAAATAAAATTTAAATGAATTTAATTAGATGAATTTACAATTTTGAGTTGAGTCTATCACTTTTAATAATTGGTCAAGTTATTGCCATGCCGAAGGGCAAGAAGTTTCACATGGTGATTCCATGAAATTTTTGGGCCAACTAACCCACCTAATTAATAACTTATAATTCAACATTACTTCTTGTTCAACTAGTTCAAATAAAAATAAGAACTTCTAGGTGTATAGAATTAGTCATAGAATCAAATATAATAGGCCAAATTATGCAAATAGTCCTTGTACTTTACACGATGTATCAATTTGGTCCCTGTAATTTTAATTTACTTGATTTTGCTCCTTAATTTAACGGATTGTGTCATTTTAGTCCAATAAATAATGACTGTTAAGTTAATTTAACGAAAAGTTAAACAGTATGTCAATTTAGTCGTTGTATTTTTCACAATGTGTCAATTTAGTCTCTATCAAAACAGAGAAAATTGAAACTACAGGGACGAAATTGACACATCGCGTAAAGTACAGGGACCAAATTGACACATTATTTGACCTTCCGTTAAATTAATTTAACAACCGTTATTTATTAGATTAAAATGACACAATCCTTTAAATTAAAGGACAAAATCGAGCAAATTGAAGCTACGGAGACTAAATTGACAGATTGTGTAAAAGACAAAGACTATTTACATAATTTATCCAATATAATATTGTGGAAAAAGAATTTAGCTTAAATTTTATTTGCATTATTTTTACATTTTTCCTTCTCTTTGTCAAATTCTTATCCAAATTTATAATTTAAATCCAAAATATTTAAATATCACTTAATGTGAAAGAGTTGTGTCCAATCCTGCAAGCATGTAACAAAGCTTAAAAAAAAACATATATAATTCAACTACTTTATTGAATGCCCTGTTGGTTGCATAGATAAGAGGTGCCACGTGTAATTTTTTTTATTTTTTTTTATTTTTCTAATACATTGTCAATCCTAATTCGAAAGAGAATGAATTGTACACTTAACTCGAGCGCAATTTTAAGCATTATAAAAAGAAGATTTGACATTAGTTATATATATATATATATAGAGGAAATTGGTGAAAATCCATCTTAAAGGGGTATAAATCATTAAATTCAAGGTAAAATCATATAATACAAAAAAAAATATAATATGTGGCTATCAAATATAGAAAAATAAAACTATAGCAACCAAATTAAACAAAATATATATATATATATAAAACAAAGAATTCCTAATAAAAAAAATCAACATAGGTAATAAGGAAAATTAAAGAAACAAAAAATATAACTAATTTGGGAACGAAACCTCCTAAAAATTCTAGGATTCCACCTGGTGTCTCTTGCGCCTATAATAAATCTTCAATCCCTTTCTTTCTTGGTCCCCATCATTTCTCCCCAGCTGAAAAAGAATCCTCTGGAGAGTAATGACCAAGGTACAATTAGAATAGGAAATAAGTGATTGTATTTTATTCTTATTTATTCTCTTGATTGGTGTAATGGGCTGGCCCATATATTATGCCTTATGGCACTCCTATAATTACTCAGTATTATCAATATAAAAGGGAATGAAGTCTAACTCATTCCCTAACTCTTTCTCTTCTCTAAACTTACATGGT